CTCTTGAATGGACAAGCAGTGATGTAGACCTGATAAGCTTTTAAGAAATCTGCAGCTGATATTTTCTTACTTGTGATCAATGTTGCATCTCCGCCAGCAAAACGAGCTTCGAGGGCATTGGCAAAGCAATAGGCCAGCCTTGAAGTAGGGTCACCAAAGGGAGATGAATGCTCCCTAATTTTCTTGAGAACCTCTATGAATGTTTTGCTGTTGTAGCTTGCTGCAGCCTCCGCGCAACGCGTTAGGAGACTAGTAAGATCTACTACTTCATTCGGCTTAACACCTTTTTTGCTCCCACGAGGCCTTCCACGTTTAGACTGCTTTATATGAGAGCTCTTTTGTTTATCCCATGCTGCATTATCTGATGCTGTTGCTGATTTTGATCGATTTTCATAGAAGGAAGGATTCAAGCCTGGACAAAGAAGTGCCTTATCGTAGTGCTCCTCTGTTTTTCCATCCTCTGTTTCCTCTGTTCCATTACTAGCTAACTGCTTCGATTGTCGCCCTTTTGAACTGTCATTATTTTCATCTCGAGTATGCTTTTTGTTTCCATCTGAACTTGATATCCCACCTTGATTAACATCATTGACTTGATGATAATTGATTGTATTCGATGCACCACCATTGACAACACTAATACCATCACCAACACCATGACAGATATTAGTATTATAAAAAAGGGAACATTGGCCAGCATCTAAATCAGAATTGAAAGTTGTCTCAACAAATTGATTCACAGCATCGCAGTAATCGTCTTGAAATTGATTACCACTATCATCAATGAAATCGCGATGAACTGGAGGTGGATTCAACGCATCATAAAACGATTTTTCAGCTGCTTGGAGAGCTATGCAATCTTGAAACATACATGGCCTATTTTCCAAATCTTCTTGGTCTTCCATAAGCATCTGATGTATATACTTAAAAACTCCATCGAAGTAATCTCCTTGGACTACTGTACGATCACTACCACTTCCAATAACAACCTCCTCCTCCGATGATCGTCTGCTCGAAAAACAGAGAACATCGTTAACTCCTCCTCCTCCTCCTCCACCGCCACCGCCACCAAAGCGATGACAGAATTCAAATCCATCAGATGATCTATGATCACCTGGGAAATGGGAGCTAGTATTCATCATAGAAAAAATATTTTTTTGAGGGATTGTGAAGTGGATGTTGATTCTTGATGAAGACACAGATATATATATATATATATATATATTACTTTTAACTAAATCTACCTGTCATCTTATATGAGTTAGTTTTGATTTGATACAAATTTTAAAAAAGAAACTTTTTTTAAACTTATAATTTAAAATAACTAACAGATATTTATTTGATTGAACATTTTAAAATTAAATTGTTATTTAATATAAAAATATATCATTTTTTTAAAAAAAAATTAAAAAGAAAAATGAATCATATAAATCGAACAAAGGTAGTACTTATATATTTTTTATTACTGTATTATATAAGAGAGAATAATATATACTCCAGTTGTTCATCAAAGAGTTGTACGGGAATTTTATATATTTTGATTCTTTAAAGTGGGTCATAAAGTTAACTTTTTTCTCCTACAATTTTTTTTAATTTGGCACTTGGGACTTTACAATTGGTATATCATATGGATGATAAAATTGCTTTTTCCCTTTCTTTGCTACTTGGGTCTCTGCCCTTGGTCGATTATATGCTTTCTTTGTTCGGTTCGATTCAATTTATATGATATGATGTAATTTAATGAATTTAGAGTTTAAAAATATGGTAACACTTTTGCTATCTTTTTATATGATTGTTAAGATAAATCAATTTTTTTAAACAAAAGAGTACACATTTACAGTGTGATTAAATATTTATTGAATAAAAAAATGTGTTTTTTTTTGTGATCGGTGAAAAATAAAAAATGTGTCATATAAATTGAGACAAAGGAAATAACTTTTATCTTGGTAAGAATATACTTTACTTTATTTGTCTTTGTGCATCTTGGTTTATTTAGGCAACTTTGTAGCTAAAAAAATTTTGTTTCCAAAAGGGTGCACTTATGAGGTCTTTCTTACCTTCTAAACATGATGAAACTTACCCGCACCTGATGTGAGCATCGTATTTTTTTTTGCGTATTCTTTTTATTTATTTTATTTAAACGTTTAAAAATTTGCTTCTTTCATGAGCTCATATTATCTATCCTAGCTAGAATCATTTCCAAGTATAACTTTTGCTAATTTTTAGTCAAACTTTGTTTCTCATAAATATTTTTTTCTTTAAATAATAAATTGTAAACACTTATCAAGAAAATATAATTAAGATGTCATTATAATTTATAGTGTAGACAAGCTAGCTGATACATGCTTATAAATAGACTTGAAACGGACGAAAGCTTACAAAGTTATGAGCTATACATGGGAAATAGTACATGATTTTTTTATCTTTTATTTTTTTGTCGATCTTCATAAAAGTTGATGATATATTTTGTAAACAAGCTAGCTGGGGCTCACCTTGGGAAAAAGAGAAATTCCAAAATATAAAAGAACAATAGTCTAAATGAGAGGAAACCGACTGTAATTCAAATACTATTAATTTATAGAACGATGCGAATTTGAATTTTAAAGTTTATGTTTTGTATAATAATTTCAAGTTATAATAATATATTTTGTATAGCTTCATAAGTTAATTTTGTAGAAGATAAAATATATGTATATATTATTTTTATTCTATGAAAAAAAAATTATTTTTAAATAACCCTCGATCGATTCAAATACAACATATCAAATAGATGTAAACAAAGAAATACGATTTAGGTGAATCGAGGGGCAAAGAGGGTTGGGTGGGGAGGGACAGGACTACATGGCTGACACATTTTTGTAAATCTCGAAATCAATTATTGTTGCCACTCCATCTGGTTCCTTAACATGTGACTTCCTGTCTGGTTCCTTAAAAGACTCGTTTAATATGATTTATAAGATATAAAAACTTTGAGATAAAATATAAAATTATTTTATTCGATATCTTATTGGAGGTATCAGGTAATTATTACATTATTTATTTTATTATTTATATTATAGTGATAGAGTAAGTTATTACTTATACATGATAGAATAACTTATTTTAAATCAAACGAATTCTTATAATGCCAACTATTATTGATTAAAAAATAGTATCAAACAAAACTTAATTCAAATCTTTCCTAGGCAGATTCAAATCCGCCAGCTTCAAAGAAACTTTATTTTTCTTGATTTTTTTTTGTACATGTTAAATTCATTTGATTTTTCTCGTGAATATTTTTTTTTTATATTTTAGTTATCTTTAGTGAAAATACTAATTCATGTAGTAATTTTTATTTATCAAAAGTGGACACATTAATTTGCCTCTCTTCGATATATATCCACCGAATGCAAACATTCTACGATGCTGCAATATTTGTCGGATGTATAACATTCAACGAACATTCAGCCTACATATCTCTATATTCTTGTTCTTTCCAACATCTTTTGTTTTTACTTAATTAATATCGACGTGAGTTATTTATATTATTGATTTAGTTTGGATAAAGGAGGAGTAGTAGGTTGATAATCAACGTAAATCATGCTAGTTTATGATGAATTTTTATGATACAAAAATTATAGTGATACTATTATTGGAGGTTAAATAAAAAAAATAAGAATTTATATAATTGATTCTTAACTTATTTGAGATCGAGGTGTCGTGAGAAGTTTCCTTTATACACCTTTTTCGTTGAGCTCAATCTCTATGATATGCATATACTATTATAAAGTCTGAGAAACCCAGTGTAAATGATAATCAAAAGTAATGAATAGATGGTAATGCAAAGAACCCATGTAAAAATTTGAGTTAGAGTTCTCATGTGATCATTTAATTACTATTATAAATATTTTAGAAAGTCACTTATTTATTTAAAAATATGACTTTCTGAATTAATAAAAATTAGTAATCATTTGAAAAATTAATTGTTCATTGAAAGTAAATGACAAGGCATTAATGGTGATTAAGGTCTACTAGATGATATAGAGATCCATGGTTAGATGAATAATAATGTAACTTAACCAAATGGCACAAACATGTTCATCGTTCACCAACTCTTTAGCTAATACTTCTTCCGTCTTAATTTATACGTACTTAACTATATAAGTTAAATTTGATAATGTCATTTAAAATGTGGGGCAACGTACCTAACTTAGCTTAGGTGAAAAGAATAAAAAGAATAGAAGACAAATCAAACAGATCTTTTATTTTCATAACCAAATAGAGAATTAAGTGAACAGAAGAACCACCTGGTACAACCTACTACATTTTTCTTATGTAGTAGAATAGGTACATCCAACTGTTTTATGTATTTTCGATATTTACGTCAAATTAAAAAAATATGTGACATATGCCTTCTTAAATAAACTTTATGCATAATTATCGTCAAGTAACATATTTTTTCATTCTAAAATAAACTTTAAGCATAATTATCGTCAAGTAACATTTTTTTTTTTCATTAAGATGGTTCAGTTGATTTGAAATCGATGCTCCTCAATGCCTGCTCATCCAAGGAGGTATAATCCAAAAGTTGAATGGAATGACAATTTTAGCCCAAACAATGCAATTAATTCTTCAATAATGTTCTCATGGGAAAATCAAAGTTCATTTTGTACCATGGGCCATGGCTATTGTACATCAAGAGAGCATTATTATTTTCAGATAAATGTAAATCTTATAATGAATTTTAGTCCAAGAAGAAAAATGTTTTCTATAAAACTTGCAAGGTTTTCACTTTTCAATCAAAATAACAACCATACTTCTATCAGTTTTCTTCAGAAGCCCTTTACTGATAGTGTTACAAACATCAGAAAGATCTTGGCTTCATCACAATGGTAGAATGCTTCAAAATGTGGAGACTGAACTGTCCACCTTTCTCCGAGGTGTCGAGTTTCGACTGCCCTGGAGGAGGCAACATCTCAAAGTTCTGCACCAAACGTCCCAAAGTGATGCCGAGAATTGGCAAAGCAAGGATAATTCCGGGGCAACTCCTCCTACCAACACCGAAAGGAAGAAATCTAAAGTCATTGCCATTGGCCTCAACGTGCTTCTCCTCTTCGAAGAACCTCTCGGGTCTGAACTCTTCTGGTTTCTTCCAGTGAGCGGGGTTGTTAGCTAGCCACCAAGCATTGACCAAGATTTTGCTCTCAGCTGGAATATCATATCCAGCAAGCTTTGCATCATGAAGGTTCATGTGTGGGACCAAGAGAGGAATTGCCATCCGGAGTCTAAGAGTCTCCTTGATCACAGCCTGAAGGTACGGAAGCTTGGGCATGTCTGGCTCAGTCACTTGCACTCCTGGTCCAAGAACTGTATCAATCTCGTCACGGAGTTTCTTTTGGATGTGAGGGTGGTTGACTAGTTCCGCGATACCCCACTCGATTGACCATAATGTTGTTTCGATTGCTGTTCATGACAATAATTCAGCATATTAGCCGAATAATCAACTAACCAAGAAGTTTATGAACGATATAAACAACCAAACATGCTTCAATGGTTCAAATAAAGCTCACTTATTGCTCAGTACAAGACAAAGCGACGAAACTACTTTAGGACCAGAGGCAATTCCAAGATCTACAATTAGTGAGCTCAAAATGAGTATGATTTTGTCATATATATTTAATAGATCCTTCTTTCATATGCATGCACACTACAGACCAAAAGCAGTGAGTTCAGTAAAACTCAGAAAACCGCTTAAATCCATTTTTGTTTGAGACTTTGGCCTTATAGTATATCATACAGTTCACTTTGTTACTTATTTACGGTTCTGCTTGAATGTTACCATAACAGCTTATTTTCAAAAATTACATCAGTGCTTTTGTTTGTAGACAAAATAATGATACTAAAGATCTTTTAGTACATTACTCCACTATCATGATCATAATTAACACGAGTTGTTTCAAGTCATTACTTATGGAAAGTTAGATGCCTTAAAATGTGCACCAACAGCCCTGTCTACCTAACCCTCATCAAGAAAATTGGCAAGTACACCAACCATATCAAACTGTTACCTATCCCCATATTTGGAACTTCTCACCTACTACTTTTGATTAAAAAACAGAGTAAATCGGAACAGGGATCCGTCAGGCTTTCGCCCATTCCAGAAAGTTCCCCACTGCTGCCCCTCACAGGAATCTGAGCCATGTCTCAGTCCTAGTGCAGTTGATCATCCTCTAAGATCTGCTACTGATCATCCCTCTGCAAAGTGATTGTCACACTAACTAGCTAACCACACGCGAGCCCCTCGGGTGGATTCCTCCTTTTCTTTAGCAATTAGTTGCTGTTCCCCACCCAAATGCATTCACTTATAAATTACTTTTCTTAGTTTCTGACTAGGATGATTAAAAATCATGTAACAACTAAAAAAATAAGTTCCTTAAACTTTGGTGCAAATCCAAATACCGTACAAAAAAAATATGTTTGTCATTCTTGGTTTACCAGTCAAACACACCATTCTGTTATTCTTATCCAAAAGGAACTCGTGAGGATACCAAACCAAGTACCGTTAAAAGTTATTTTCAACATTTTCACAAGGAGATGCACATATTAAACCAAACTAGAACAAAGTATGTTCAGAGAATTAAAAAGTATTTTGAAACATACCAGCAACATTAATGTTCTCAACAATGTAAAGAACGTTATCCTCGTTGATCTCTCCCTTCTGTTGAGCATCAAGAATGTGATCAATGGCACATTTTAGAGCATTGCTGTCCGTGCTCTTGGTATTTGCAAGCTTCCTGCACAAAGCAAAAAAATATGTTAAAAACTAATTGTACCTCAAAGCACTTCATCTAGCCAGACCTTACAGACAATATTTGGCTAAACTATCCTTTATCTCTCTTTAAAGGAAACCGGTAATTAACACACCCCTAATATCAAATGTTTTGAAGCAAATTTAAGTCGCCACAACAACTCAAATTTAAACCAGAGGAATTTCTCCCTCCAATCCTTTTTATTTACAGCTTTGACCAAACAAATTTGGTCCATAATACCAGTTAACGTCTAATTAATTTAGACAAAATCTAGTACTCCCTCCGTTTAAAAAAGAATGACCTCCTTTCCTTTTTTGGTAGCATTTTAATTTCAGCTTTCCACGTGGTATGTTTAAAGTCATGAGATTGAAGGGCAATTTAGTACATTTGACATAACTTTAATTTAGGACCACAAGATTCAAAAGTCTTATTTATTTTCTAAAACTTCGTGCCAAGTCAAACCAGGTCACTCTTTGTGAAACGGAGGGAGTAAGAAAATAGACCGCAAACTTGACTCAACCTCAAAAGCACTCAATTTCCCAAAGACCATATGAAGAGTTCAATCACACCATTCCACACCAAATGGGACTTCCAACACCACCCCTGCACACAGGCCTACTATCTAGAGCATGGACAACACATACAACATTGGGTAAACGAAGAATTAGAATAGCTTGGCTCGGATACCATGATAAGAAAGTACAGACATAGAACCTAACTAAACCCAAAAGTTATCTCATCACCCCTCATTGAGAATTGTCTAAACCACATAAAAGTCCAGTCACACCATCCCTCGTTGATGCAGGATTGAGTAAAGTTTAGTTCCTTAGATTGATCCTATACTCCTAGACAATAAGACAACACTTTGTGATGTGATCACTGATCCCCACATTCAAAGATCATTACCAACAATACACCTAATTTATAAAAGAGACCGAGTAAAGATTGGTTCTTTAGATTGATCCTATGTCCTACACATTTACATCAAGAGAATAAAACTAAGGAAAATTAATAATTGAGCATTAAGGAGATAAAGTGAACTGAACTTACTTTCTTTCATCAACAAAATAGTCCTTGAATAGCTTCAACCTCTTCTCCTTAACTTCCTTACAAATCTTCAAGTACCCTCTCAAGAAAGGCCTCAAGATAGGGATAAAATCACCATAGTTGTACTCGAAGCTCTGAGCCAATCTACTCCTCTCACCATTCAAAGCCCTAAGCTTTACAAAAAGGGGATCATCTTCGCTCTCAAATCTTCTATCAAACATAATCCTAAACATGTTATTATACATCATAAGCTGCAATCTTTTCCTCAAAACAATCCCATTTGTTGCAGATTCAGGGTTCTTCTTCACATCCTCAACCACACTAGCAGCCTCAGACTCCCACCCCCCTCTATACTGCTGCACCACCTTATTAGTAAAAAAGGGTACAGTCATAATCCTCCTCATTTTCCTCCAGTGTTCACCATACACTGTAAAAACCATATCTTGACCCTTCCCTGTAAAAATATCAAAAACAACATTTCTTGTTCTTGAACCAAATTCAACCCCTTGTGTGTGTAAAACTTCTTTAGCTAATTCAGGGGATGACACAACAACTAAGTTCCTTTGCCCCATTCTAAGCAAGAACACATCACCAAACTTTTTAGCATACTCGGTAAGGTTTCTATGGTTCAAATCATCACCAACTTGAAGCCAATTTCCAAAAACTGGGACTGGAATTGGACCTGGGGGTAGTTTAAATCGCTTGGAACGAAGTTTAGAGACAATAATAGCGATTAAAATGGCAAAGAAAAGACCTATTAAGGTCTTCTCCAGTAAGAGAAGATCCATTTTTTTTTGAATTCTTTTAGAGGGAAGTTAGAGAAAAGAATGTTTTAATACTGATCAAGAGAAAACTGTGAGTATTTATAGAAGAGAAATATGGGGGGTTAGGTAAAGAGTTAACGGCGTTAAGTTTAATGGAATGGTAGATGGGGTTAGGTAGAGGAAAGAGAGAGCGGGGTCGGGGTGGGTTGGTGAGCTCATAAAGACTTTTGCTAAGTGCATACATCATTTAATTTTGATTAATTTAATTATGAAGATAAGATTGAATTTAGGAATTATCTAATTATTATATGTATAAATAAATTACAATTTGCATAAAAGGAAAATAATCTAACTAAGATTTTATATAACTAATTTATAAATTCAACTTATTATTATTGGAAGTCTGTTTGGACATGATTTGAAATTGAAATTTTGTTTGAATATGCAACTTGTGAGGAGTCAATTCCTTAAATGGTAACCCAAGTTTAGGAATTACCTTGAAATATCATTTATGTTTCATTTATAACCAAAATATCACTCAACTATCATTATTTTCCTCTAAATATACTTAACACTTCAAAAACCCCACTCTCTCCTAGTTGGCATGACATGTCATTAAAGTTTTTTTTAATAATAGATTGATTTGATTCATTTAAATCCATTTAACTAAAATAATGATCATATTATTTAAAATATATATATATATATATATATATATATATATATAAGTTTATTAAGAATAAAACTTCATACTTAAGAACCTTTTATTATAATTCAACTTTTTATTTTTTTATGTTATGAAGAATAGGTTTTTAAAACGTACTATAATAGCATCAATTTTGGAATACTTATATATATATATATATATATATTTAAAAAAAAATTGATATACAAATCACTCATTAATGCTAACTTACATCAATTAATCATAAATTTTATAATGAATCAATAGTATTAAATGTCAATTAACTATTATAATAAAATTAATTGTGTGTTTTGAAATTCATGCTTACAATTTTTTTTCTTGAAAAAAAATAGAAAGTGAATAATATTATTACTATTTTTTATCGAAAAAAATAAATACTAAATATCTCAAAAGTCTCCTTCTATTCTAGACTTCTAGTTGATATGTCATGTTATTAGATCATCATTTTAGAAAATAATAGACCTATTTAATTCATAAACTTATGTCTCTACAAAACAAATATATAAATTACATGAGAAATTTTTGAAGATTTTAAATAAAAAAACTAATTTCTTTATATTTTTTTACCAATGAAAAAAAATTTGTGTGCAATTATTACTTGGTAATTTTCAAAATCCCTAAGTAAATTAGTTGAAAATTTTAAGAATTTTTTTCATAAAAGTATTCAAATAAATTTGTAAGGTTGACAAAAAAGTTGGTAAGAAAGAGAAAATTATTATTTAAATTTTTTTAATTTGTTTTTTTATATTTATTCTTTTATTGCTATATTATATTTTAACTTATCATACCATTAAACACCACTGTATATTCTTATCTTATTCCAAATTCATGAAATACAAGTAATAATTAATTGAATTGCCTATTTTAATTCAGTAATACATATTATATGAGATTAATATACTTATAATAAAGATCAAAATTTTATTTTCTAATATAAATATTATTCACTTTCTATTTTCTTTTAAAAAAAGATATTGTAAGTATGGATTTCAAAGTACCCAATTAATTATTTTTAATAGTTAATTGACCTTTAATATTATTGATTAATTATATAATATATGATTAATTAATGTTAATTGACATTCATGAGTGATTTATATATCAATATTTTTTGAATATATGTGTTTATAAGTATTCAAAATTGATGACATTATAGTAAGTTTTAAAAAACTATTCTTCATAGCATAAAATTAGACTAGCTTGCTTCCACTAGTGGCGGGCGGGCGAAGGGTCCAAAGGACACGTAGCCGGGGGCGAGTCCAAAATCCAATTGTTCTATTTTCCTTCTTGTTCATCAATCGGATTAAAAAAATAATTATGATAAAAGATTCTTAAGCATGAAAATTTCTTCTTAATAAACTAATATATACTTTTTAGAAAATAATAATATCATTATTTTAGTTAAATGAGTTTGATGAATTAAATAAGTCTATTTTTTTTTTAAAAAAAAAAGCTTCAGTGACATGAGTCATGACATGCTAACTAGGAGAGAGTAAAACTTTTGAAGTGTTAAGTATATTTGGAGGAAAATAATGATAGTTAAATGATATTTTTTTCCTAAATGAAACATAAATGATATGTCAAGGCAATTTCCTAAACTTGGGTGACCATTTAGGGAATTCACTTACTTTGTGATTCGTCTTCTTTTCATTTCTCTCCATTTACGTCGAGCCTTGACAAATCATGGGGTAGGGAATAGCTTGATTTTTTTTTAAAAACGACAATTATTCTAAATTATTTTCTTTTCTTTTTTTTTAAAATAAAGACGACAAGTAAAATAAACAAGAGGAAAAATCTCGACCAAAACAAGGGAGAAAACTTGTCCAAAATCTAAAGGATTCGTGATTAACATTCAACTATCTTTAAATGGAGTGAAAAAATTGGCCTTCTTTTGACTAATTTAAGTTTATGCGAAAATAAAGACGTAAGTTTCACCATCCAAAATTTAAAAGATATATACTCGATTTTCAATTATTTTTAAATTGAGTGAATCAATTGAATTTCTCAAACTAATTCAAGTGTATCAAAAGAGACAAAATTGTCACCATCCAAATTTAAAAGGATTTGTGATCGACATTCAACTATCTTTTAATTGAGTGTTTTTTTTAGTAGTATAAGTGTTAACATAATTTACGTGATATTATATGATTGACATAAAATTTACTATATTTGTTTGAAATTTATGGTCCAAAATATTTTAAGATTACTTCTTGGCAATACATCATTCATCAAGGATAAAAATGAAATTTTGAAGTTCAATTATAGAAAAATGACATTTTTTTTAGATAAACTAAAAAAAAGTGTGTAAAATGAACAATGACTTGTTCCAAATAAACACATGATAAAGTGTTTCTATTAGTCACTTTCGATTCAAATTTTGAAAAAATATTCATCTGTGTTCACAAAAGTCTATTAGATACTTGAGCAAATCGCATAAATTATTTCATTGTTTAATTGTACATATCAATCTCAATTGGAAGCAATCTTGAGGTTTTTGTAAAAAAAAAAAAAAATTGGTCAAAAAAGATAAACTATTTTATTAATTAAATAATAATAGTGGCGGTACTAGGGGTGAAAACTGTTTGTTCTGAGGAACGTCAAACCAAAAAAGAGTGTAATTAGTAGAAGTCGATGTTGTAGATCATTTTTGGAGACTAACATGATGTACCAAACCAAAATATTTGAACCAGAAATATTAGTGTCTATTTTCCCTTCTCCTTTTCAAAATTTGAATTGAAAATGTTTAGTAAAAATATTTTATCATGTGTTCAAGTGCTCAATTGGAAGTTTGGAACAAATCATAGTTAGAATATTTAAATAAAATTTACTCCCAAATTTAAAAAGTTATTGATACATTAATGGTGATTAGTCTCCACTAGAGAGCCATGATTAGATGAATAATTATGTGATTTAACCAATGGTAATAGGAGAACGTTGAGACATCATTATCGTTCTTTTAAAAGTACCCACAACAATGTAGTACCTAACTAGATTAATTTAATTTAATCTAATCATATTCAATTAAAAATAACCTAACCAAGTTAGGTAAAGAATAAATAAGATTTAATCGCACACATTTAATTTCATAGGCCAGGTCAAATGGACTGTGGACCAGGGACACCAACTATTTCCACATATTCAATGTTGCATTATATTAAAGTTAAGTGAACTCAAATAATAACACACTTAATCATGATTAAGTAACATGTATTTACGTACTAAATCGATTATTTGATGAATAATAAATTAACATGATTTTGTGCAAAAGACCGTAACTTCATCCTCCCTACAACTTCCTCAATGTAAGCAAAGAAATGAGTAGGTGATTGAAAAGTGTCGTGACAATATGAGAAATCAACTCAAGTAATTTTCGCCAAAATAATGCAATTGTCAGAAAGCCAAATTACCACTGTGCATCAAGAAACTACATCAGAAAGGTAAAACTTATAATGAATCTAGTCCAATAAGACTTTTATAAGACATAAGAAAAAGAAGAATGTTTTCTGTCAAACTTAAAAGGTTTACACAAACAAACAACAATCATAATTAATTGATAGTATTACAAAGTTTAGAAAGATCTTGGTTTCATCACAATGGTGGAATGCTTCAAAATGTGGAGACTGAACTGTCCACCTTTCTCAGAGGTGTCGAGCTTCGACTGCCCTGGAGGAGGCAACATCTCAAAGTTTTGAACCAAACGTCCCAAAGTGATGCCGAGAATTGGCAATGCAAGGATAATTCCGGGGCAACTCCTCCTACCAACACCGAAAGGAAGAAATCTAAAGTCATTGCCATTGGCCTCAACGTGCTTCTCCTCTTCGAAGAACCTCTCAGGTCTGAACTCTTCAGGTTTCTTCCAGTGAGCGGGGTCGTTAGCTAGCCACCAAGCGTTAACCAAGATTTTGCTCTCAGCTGGAATATCGTATCCAGCAAGCTTAGCATCATGAAGGTTCATGTGTGGGACTAAAAGAGGAATTGCCATCCTGAGTCTAAGAGTCTCCTTGATCACAGCCTGAAGGTACGGAAGCTTGGGCATGTCTGGCTCAGTTACTTGCACTCCTGGTCCAAGAACTGTATCAATCTCGTCACGGAGTTTCTTTTGGATGTGAGGGTGGTTGACTAGTTCCGCGATACCCCACTCAATTGACCACAATGTTGTTTCGATTGCTGTTCATGACAATAATTAAGCATATCAGCTGAATAATCAACTAACCAAGAAGTTTACGAACGGATATAAACAACAAAACATGCTTCAATGGTAGGACGTGTGACTTTTTAAGTTTAAGACCATATCAAAACTCATGTATTACTTACTACAAGGCGATGCAATAAATGAAACAACTTCCGGACAAGAGGCAATTCCAAGATCAACCCGTTATTGAGTTCAAAATATGTATGATCTCATTACATGTGTATACATTACGAATGCTTTTTTCATATATATGCACACTTCAAACCAAAAGCAATGAATTCAGTAAAACCCACAGAACCCGATTGTATCCAACTTTGTTTGGGACTTAAGTCTTATAGTAGTATAAGATTTGTGGTACCTAACAAGTCTTCGTAACCTAGCCTAGAAACATCACCATCACTTGAAACATGTGGTTCATTTTACTATAGTGTACTTATTTCCCCTTCAAACTTGGAAACTACATGTCTTACTTGGATGTAAACATAACATCTTATTTACCACAAGAAATTGGTATGTGGTACCCCCCAGGGCCCAGGCACCAACTAGTCCTTGGCATCATAAAAAAAGTCAAATCTTGGGGCCCTTATTTGGTAACTCTCAACTACTACTTTTGAGAAAAATAGACAAAATTGGAATTGGATTTTCATTCACTTATAAGTTACTTTTATTCTAACTAGGATGCAATCATTTAAACCAAACTAGAACAAATTATACTCTAGAGAATCAAAGATATGTTATTTTGAAACATACCAGCAACATTGATGTTCTCAACGATGTAAAGAACGTTATCCTCGTTGATCTCTCCCTTCTGTTGAGCTTCAAGAATGTGATCAATTGCACATTTCAAAGCATTGCTGTCCATGCTCTTGGTATTTGCAAGCTTCCTGTGTAAAGCAATAAAAATATTACAAACTAAAACACAAGGTCCACCATCAAAAGCTACCTAACAGTACCTCAAAGCACTTTAATTATCACTCAATCATACATGATTCTTATTGGCCAATTCTGGAATTCAACTAAAAATTTGAAAAACATCAATCAAAAAGTTATCAACTTTTTTACTCCAAATCACTCACTACTCTTACCACTGCAAGCTAGGCACTCACAGGCCACCGTTACGACAAACCTCTAATTGCCACAGGAGAATCGCAAAACAACTCCAAATATGCCAAACACCACGCTAATTTTCAAATATCATTTATCACTTTGAAAACAGAAAACAAGAACTACCTTTTTTAAAATTTAACCAATGGACCCTTACTATTCTGAAATGTCAACTAGTACTTCCTTTTCTATTCAAAATTGATCCATACTGTTCCAGGATTTAGTCAAACACCCCTTACAACTAAACTAAACTAATAAATAAAACTGATATAAATGATCAAATTGAGCATAAAGGGATTAACAAGAAAAAAGTGAACTTACTTTCTTTCATCAACAAAGTAGTCCTTGAATAGCTTCAACCTCTTCTCCTTAACCTCCTTACAAATCTTCAAGTATCCTCTCAAGAAAGGCCTCAAAATAGGGATAAAATCACCATAGTTGTACTCAAAGCTCTGAGCCAATCTACTCCTCTCACCATTCAAAGCCCTAAGCTTAACAAAAAGGGGATCATCTTCACTCTCAAATCTCCTATCAAACATAATCCTAAACATGTTATTATACATCATAAGCTGCAATCTTTTCCTCAAAACAATCCCATTTGTAGCAGATTCAGGGTTTTTCTTCACATCCTCAACTACACTAGCAGCCTCAGACTCCCACCCTCCTCTATACTGCTGCACCACCTTATTTGTAAAAAAGGGTACAGTCATAATCCTCCTCATTTTCCTCCAGTGCTCACCATACACTGTAAAAACCATATCTTGACCCTTCCCTGTAAAAATATCAAAAACAACATTTCTTGTTCTTGAACCAAATTCAACCCCTTGTGTGTGTAAAACTTCTTTAGCTAATTCAGGGGATGACACAACAACTAAGTTCCTTTGCCCCATTCTAAGCAAGAAAACATCACCAAATTTTTTAGCATACTCAGTAAGGTTTCTATGGTTCAAATCATCACCAACTTGAAGCCAATTTCCAAAAACTGGGACTGGAATTGGACCTGGGGGTAGTTTAAATCGCTTGGAACGAAGTTTAGAGACAATAATAGCGATTAAAATGGCAAAGAAAAGACCTATTAAGGTCTTCTCCAGTAAGAGAAGATCCATTTTTTGAGTTCTTTTGGGGGAAAATTGAGGAGAATGGGTATTTTTGTACTGCTGAAGAATCATGAATGTTAAGTGTGAGGATTTATAGGAGGGAAACAGAGGAGTTAGGTGGAGAGAGTTAACGGCGTGAGAAAATGGATGGGGTTAGGTGGAGGAAAGAGAGATGAATGAGGGGGTGTGTTTGGTGAAGAAGAAGTATTCACTACATCCATACAACATTAATATTGGTTAATTTTTTTTTTTTGGTGAGATTGAGTAATGGCGGCTTTCTATCATATAATATCGTCATTTTTATGTCATTAAATATATATATATATATTAACTAAATTGGTGCCATAGGTGGTATTTCAGCACGAACTGATAATACCTGTGTCCAAGAGGATTGCAACATGTCAAGCCCTGATAAGGTTCTTCACTTTATATCGAATCAATCCAAATGTTTCATTGTTTGTGTGAGACTGAGATGCGATCGGTAAACTCTTTTCTTTTTGTAAGTAACATCAAATCGGATCACGAATTTTGAAAAATATATCGTAATATTATGTACATGTATTCGATTTTGAGTACCCTTTTTTTATACTAATTTGCTGCTAGGAATCTCTAAAATCGAATTAATAATCAATAGAGATGACTGACTTGGCTCTTCGTTCAACTTCATCCACAATCATTGATTTGCAAGTTACTGCATATAGAAACGGGTTTACTCTCTATACTTAAAAAATACTAATGACTATGAAATTTTCAGAAAATTCTAAATAAATAAAATATAATTGTGAGAACTAAAAGTTTTTTTTCTCAAATTTAATTTCGTAACATTAATTTGCAAGTGTTGATTTTAATATTTTTAAATAATAGTAATTTTTTATAACATTTCAAAATTACTCCTTTTCTTTTTTTTAAATGTAGGGTAGTATAAAAGAGAGATAATGGTGGTACGAGGTCATATGATATCATTCATGATCCCTTTAGTCGTTCGATAGTATAGATTATTTGAATTTTAAATCATCCTGTGTCAAATCAGCAAATGGAAGCCACCTCATTATTTGACAAAATAATTGAGATGCACGTAGTGATTATTTTTAGAAAATATTTGAAACAATCGATATAAAATAATCGAATAAGAATAATAATACGATAAATGAATACATAATTTCAAATATATTCGGACAGTGTAATATTCATTCATAGTAGTCAGGTGAACTGTTGTGAAAATCAAGTGTATTAATTTAGAATAAAGATAAAAATGACTTCGTCAACTTAATATTTTGATATTATTGCCACAAAAATAGCTTTCCAATTTCCAGAAAAGAAGGAATTAAATATACACAAACAAATAAAAAAATTTGAGATTATCATCAATACAATCAAAGGAGCAAAAAAGTCATTTTTTGATGAAATGATCTAAAACAAATAATTTAATCATGTTTACAATTTGCAATTTCTTTATTCTTTTGAAGTAGTCTAAGTACTGTACTTTAATCAGTCACTGTATAATTGATATTTTAGAGATCTGAGATTTCAATTTACCAACTAATTAGTTACTTAAAATAATAATGTTGCTATCTGTAGCTTAGTTGGTGAGGTTTGCAACTCCAATAAGTGATTAGTAAAATAGTTAATCATGATTAGGTTGAAGTTTTAATTATTTTTTTTCAAGTGATTATGACTTGAACATTTCAAACAAGTAATTGTAATCAACAAATAACTTTTTTTAGAATTCTATGCCAAGCACGTAAGTATTATTTATCATAATTAGTGCTAAAGATGATTAGAACAAATACATTGAATTATGTTAGATTCTCATATTCCAAAAAACTGCCCATATATTTGGCTAATATTTTTTTATCCGAAAAAACATTAGAAAAATAATGCTTGAAAAAGGTTATCTACTTATTTATTATTTTTAATGAAGTATTAGGAGTATTAGTTTTGGTATATATTTATATGTTTTATTCTTTTAAGATTTTTGTATTTGACTGCTTTATATAGGTAGAAAATGATATAAAGTAATAGATATCATAATACTTCATAATTTAAAATATTAAAAACTACAAAAAAAAAATTGACTTTCGAAATTCTATCTATACCGTATAAAGTGGAATGAAGGGAGTAATATATATTATGTAAAATAACATAAATATAATACTGTAAATCACAATAATTAACAACTTGATTATTTAGAAACCTTGTAAGAAATAGTTGACTTTTGAAATTTCATTTTTATCACATAAATTAGGATAAAATGAGTAATATATAGTATGTAAAAATAGTTAAAATGTATTATAAATTACAATAATTAATCACTTAAAATATCTATTCAAAAACATATAAGAATTAGTTGACTCTCGAAATCTATTTGTGTCAGTGTCATATAGGAATAACATATATTATATGAAAATCAACTAAAATATACAATAAATAATCATAGTGATAATTATTAAGTTCAAAATATAGTAGAAATATATAAGAAAAATCGAATAATGAGCAGTGACGTATACAAAATTTAAATTTGAAATCTCACATTGAATTTTGAACATTTTTAACCTATTGGCAAACCCCTAATTTTGTGTTCAAAATTATATATACATATTAAAATTTTAAAGGAAAACTTACAGAAATTCTGCTAGTTTAGAAGTGATACATGTATCTCGCGATACATGAGTTAAAATTAAGTGTAATTTGTTATAGATACACAACATCCAAGTGGATATGCATGTATCTGAGATATATAGACAAATCTCGTCCGCTTCCTTAAAATCCCGCTAGTTTAGGTGTTAAATACTTAGATATACTTTAATTTACAGTATTATGAATCTTACCATATTTTGGTGCATTAAGATACGTCATGAATTTGGATACATGTGTTTTAGATACATGATGCTAAAATTATGTGTAATGTGTTCTAGATACATTGTATCTAAATGGATTCGCATTAATCTGAGATACACAGACAAATCTCGCTTTGCCACTCTCCTATGTGTCTAGTAATACCAGATACATGTGAATCACACAACATATATACATACATTTACATTTATCTAGTGTGATCCGTATGTATTTGGAATACACAACTATCTCCCTCCTCATCTCGCTCACCTTTCTCCTTCTTTCAATATATCTAATAGCAAAACTACATATATCTAAGTGTATCTTCCTTAATATATGATAGAAAACTCTTACTTAGTAGTCATAAGTAATTATTTAAAAATATAATATTCATGAATGTATGTCTAATAAGATAATTTTTTTGATTTAAAAAAAAATACCTTATATATATAATAGTGTCATTAAGGGTGTGTTTGGTACGGAGGAAAACATTTTCTTTCCATGTTTGATTGGCTTAAATATTTGGAAAATGTTTTCCAAATCAACTCATTTTCCTCAAATATAAGGAAAATGACTTCCCTTCCAAAATTGAGGAAAACATTTTCCAAACTCCACTTCATCCTTTAATTTTTTTTTCTTACCTTACCAATAACCTGTACCCGACCGTCTCCATTAATTTTTTATCTCTACCTCAACCCCCCCCCCCCTCCCCCCAAACAAAAAAAATAAAAATTATTTTTAAAAAATGTTTCAAATTTTAAGATTTTTTTTATCTCACCCAACCCCTATCACCCCTACCCCAAAAAAATTTCTTTTGAAAGATATTTCAAATTTTATTTTTTACGCCACTCCCCGGCCCCCCTCAAACAAGGTCAACCACTCCTCCGCCACCCCCGCCAATTTTATTTTTTTAAAAAAATTATTTCAGGGAAATATTTCAAAAAAAAATATAAAAAATCATTTTTTACGTCACCCCCCACCCCACCAAGGCTATCCCGGTCATTTAAAAAAAATTATTTTTGGAAAATATTTCAAATTTTTAATTTTTCCATTTTTACGCCACCCCCTACCCCTCCCCGCCACCTCCACCCTTTATCCCCCTCCCCACGCCACCCCACTCAGGTCATTTTCGTCAAATTTTTTTTAAGCAAAATCATTTTGAGAAATATTTCAAATTTAATTTTTTTTCATTTTTAAGCACCCCCATCCTCCCGCGCCACCCCACCCAACCCCCGTAAAAATATATTTTTGAAAAATATTTCAATTTTTTTAAAAAAATCATTTTTTATGCCCCCACCCCTCAGCCGCTACCCCCCTCCCGGGCGCAACCCCGTTAATTTTTTTTAAAAAAAATATAAATTTTTGGGTGAGGTCCTGGGTTGAAAGTCTAGGTCAAGTCCTGGGTTAGATCTCAGGGTCGAATTTGGAACGGTCATCGGGATCTTGTCTTAGTTTGAGTGTCGGGGTTGATTTTCGGATCAAAAATTATTTTTTTAAAGAGTATTTTTTAGTCTCAAGCCAAAAATAAAAGATATTTTGTGAAAAATATTTTTCATTCACCAAAAAATATTTTCTACTCACCAACCAAACATGAGAAATTAAGTTTGAAATCCACTTATTTTCCAAGAAAAACATTTTCCAAGAAAACATTTTTCATGAAAAACATTTTTCTTCGTACCAAAAACACCCTAAATTAATTAGGTATTCGAGAATAACGTTGCCTCTACTTGTCCACATAACTTTAGGTACACTCAGTAAATTCATCCATTTTATTACTCATATTATATATATATATATATATATATATATATATAGTTGAGACGTGGAAATTTCTTAATACACAAAGTACAACTAACAATATATTTGGGTTTCATCTCCATCCCTTTATTTTAATGTATCGTCTTCGTTTATCAACCACAATATTTCTTCTATACGTCACACTAGCTATATTAATGATCTCATATATGAAGCCTCAATATATTACAGATTTTTTTTTATATACTCTATTTGTTTTAAAAGGAACGATTTAGTTTGATTTGATATGAAATTTAAAAAAGTAAAGAAGATTTTTCAATCATGTAATTCTAAACTAATATCATGTCAAATGTATCAGAATGTCCTTTAATCTTGTGAACTTTGAAACAATGAAATTAAAGTGTTACCAAAAAAAGAAAAAAAATATATTTTTTAATTAGATTAAAAATCAAAGTAAGTCATTTTTCTCAAATGAAAGAAGTAACTGTAGGTGACAAAAAAAATTATAATAAAATGATCGCATGTATGTAACATATGCTTTATCTCAATTTTAAAATCTTGCTCAAGAAGTACTGAATATTATTCGAGGTTATATAAATTTGAGTTTTAAAGTTTGAATATTCCATGATTTAATTACATTTGTAATATTCTACTTTTCTATTAATGGGAATATATATAATACTCTTTATCAATTTCAGTATTTGATGTCGGGGAAATAATTAAAATTCACAATAATAATAATATAATATTATTAATAAAATAGTAGTCCTGAAAATAGATAAATACTACGATGATATATAAATAATAGTGCGTAAATTAATACTCGAGTCCGTGCTGGGCACAAACTATTTCAATAGTATGAAATGTTTTCCCAGAATTAAACAAGTCTTCCTTATCTTAAATAGAGGATACATGAATCAACAAATTAATTAATATCAGCAAGTTATTAGTAGGGAAATAAAATAACAAAGCCAAACTCATTAAATAAATTAAAAGGAGAAAATTAAAAAGAGAAAAAAGGCAAGTCGTGAGGGAGAGTAAGATTGATGCCTAATCATTTCATAAATGCAAGATGCCAATTTATATGCCAATAAGAAACCTAATCACAAGATTAGATTTCATGCAAAAAACCATTGTGAGACAAGTGTCAAGGTGGGTGAAAAAAAATATGGCATACACTGCCAAGTTTATCATTTCTCCAAATTATTTTTTTCAATACACTTTAATTATTTTGGCTTTGTATATACACTTTAAAATAAATTCATTTGAAATAAATATTTACTTACAATTGACTTGTAGAGGTTTTTGCCATCTTGAATAGTCACTTATGTTTATTTTTCTAGCAAAATAAATTCAAATTCAAATTCAAAGTGTTCAAACACAAAAATGTATAATTTTGATTTTTATTCATTGAAGACTTATATATGCTTCTACATTTAACTTTATTAGTTTTTTTTTTTTTATAGAATTGGTCAATATATAATAAGATGATAACATTATTGTCTAGAGAAATAATTTTGTTGACAAGCGTACCGTCACTTTCGTGTTTGGTAATATTACTAATTTGATTAATTTCAATTCAATATTATATTACGTTAATTTTTTAGATTTGAACTCGAAATTCGAATAAAAGTTTGATAAGGGTAAACAAATTTTATGCATGTTAATGTAAGTCGTGGTTGGAGGTGTCTATGAACAAACTAATATTTTAATTCTCCATGCATGTGAGATCGTACTTTTTTATTTCTTCAATTCCTCAAGGGTTATTAAAATTTTGATTTTTCTTATTTGTTTTTTTCTTTTTGAAGTCAAAGTTTGGTGCTTTATCACTTTCAAATAAAAAATGTCTTAAATTAATACACAAAAGAAAACAAAATTTTATAGCACAACTTGAAAGGTCAACTTGAACTTATAGATAACGGCCGTTAAGTTTGACGGAGGAATTTTCTCATTAGATTATGGAGAGTTGGTGGATTAATGTTAATATATTACTGCAATTGGGCATCAATGTCAAAGCTATTATGTGGCTGCCACCTTTTTAGAGATCTATCACATGTTATAATATCATAAATAAACCGGCAAATAAAAAGTATCTTTATAAACTACTATTGATTAGGGATAATGGGCTTTTTTTAAAAAATTTATTACTACTTTCATTTTAATTTATGTGATGCAATTTGGTTTGACACAGAGTTAATAAGTTAGTCATATTTGTGTGACTATAAATTATTTCATTAAAAATAAAATAAATATTTTAAAGTTAAATTGTTACTTAATTAGAAACAAGTTATTCTTTTTCAGATTGACTATAAAAAATGTATTATATAAATTTAAATAAAGAGAGTAGTTTTTTTTTCAATTTGTTACTATGTATTATTTTTTGTGTTGTTACTGTTTTTTCCCCATTATTTTTATATGATTTCTTTATTATTATAGGTGTTTTTATTGATGTTGATATGCTTTATTTGTGTCGATTGTCTATTTATTATCATAAATAATTTCTTTATCTTTACAAGATAATATGTATACATCATTTCTTAGATTCTATTTATAAAATTATACATATGTGGTATTATATTGATTTTAGGGTTAATGGTCTTGCTTTTGTTAGGTAAAAAGTTTTACTAGTTGATGGTAGGATTAATGGACTTCACTTTTCTATTTGGTTATACTTTTCGCAATTATAGTGTTTTAAATGTTATCTTCTTTTTTTTTTTTTTGGAAACGGAGAAAACAATTACCACTATTATATAAAATAAATTATTGTTCTACTGTAAATGTGTCCCCATCTGAAAACCATCCACCAACTAATTAATATGGCAAAGGAATTATTAAACCATAACACCGATTACATTAATGGCTTCCTATGTTTCAATTTATATGATATATATATTTTATGTTAGTTAAAAAGAAGAAGATAATATTTCTTTATTTAATAACAACTTAACTTTAAAATGTCAATTATAGTTTTAACGAAATTATTTATAGCAACATAAACACCTGAAGTTTATTTTTAATCATAAACTTCAAATTTTTTTCTATGTTTTTAAACTCTATACGCAATTAAACTATATCATACAAATTAAGACGGAGAAAAGAGTACATGTTTATTAACTTCCCCCGTTGAATGGCTAGAATTTTTCAAACCATATACTATATTATAAAATTAAAAAAAAGGTACTAAAGAGGACACGAATACCAATAAGAAGTCTTGAACTGCACCTACCACACTGCTGTGCACCCTAGAAAGCACAAAAGGCCAAAATGACTAATGTTTTGAATAATTAACTTAAATAGTCGTTAAATTAAATAGCTAATTAATACATAGTATGATTATATATAATCGTCCGAAGGTTAAATTATAAGGAAGTGCAGAATTTAGCAATTAACTCATTATTCAATAGGTTCGACTACTTTAAATCTAATAGTGAATGGGTATGAATTTTTCTTTAAAATATAAAATATTCGATTAAGGCTCGTGAATAATTGAATACCTCAAGTGTAAATATATTTAACGAGTCATCTATTTTCAAATGTGAAAAGTTGCTGAAATCCTTCACTACACATGCATTTTTACCATTTTGGTTATGAAAAATCGATTTGTCCCTCAATCAACACCATTTCGATTAAAAACTTAGCTAGCTACTTTAAATACTTATTATTTGTTTCTTATTATATACAGTTACAATAACGGGTTCACAGGTTCGAAAAAACCTCAAACGTGTTTGTTTATTTCACGAATGAATCAATTTTTAAAACAAAAGCGCCTGTAGCTCAGTGGATAGAGCGTCTGTTTCCTAAGCAGAAAGTCGTAGGTTCGACCCCTACCTGGCGCGATTTTTTAATTATTTATTTTATAGCACGCTTTTTTATTTTTTTATTTTTGCTTAATTTTTATATGTTTCATTTTTAAATTTTTTGGAATAAATGCTTTATTTGTTCTATGTTTCATTTTTAAATTTTTTGGAATAAATGTTTTATTTGTTATATGCTTTACTTGAACTTAGTGTTTATAGAAAAGAACTTCTATGCTCTCCGTCCTCCTATGCAAGCAAATTCTGCTTCTATTATATTTGCTCTAGATTGACTAATGATTCTTAGGTTCATTTATTGAAAACAACCTCTCTATTACGATATCTCTCTGTCTCTGCTCTAAAAGCCTCCTGTTATATATGATTCACAGTGTTCATTTATGGGAAACAACTTCTTCATTATATTCCTTCAAGATTAAACTACTTGAGTCATTTTCTTGCACTACATTTTCTCTATTCAACTTAGAATCCTAACAATCACTTACTAAAATAATGTATGTGTTTGTTTTGCTTGTAAATAACTAATACTAAGGAAGATATAACTAAATCAAAACAAACAAGCGCATGTAGCACAGTTGATAGAGCATCTATTTCATAAGCAGAAAGAATTTCAACAATCATCTCGATAGAACATATATTTTTCCAGTGAAAGTAGAATGCTATTATGTCAATTACTAGCAAACAGGTGCAGCATTGAAGAAAAGGAAAGTTGAACTTGGAAACAAAAGTATAAATAATAAGTACAAGAGAAAGAGTGGTTGTAATACTGGGACTAATGCCATTCTCTTCTACTCTTTCTACCATTTTACGCGCCCCTTGAATTTCAGCAACAAAATCAACACAGTACACATCGTTAATCGTTTTAGTGCATATGCTTGTTCATTTGATCTTCAATTCTTTATGACTTATAGGGGTCAGCATCAAGCATTGCAACTCTGGCTTTCAGCTGATCTCTCTCTGCTGCTACTGCTTCAAGGATTTTGTTCAATTCTTCGACATCATTGTTCTTCTTGACAATGCTTGACTTTAGTTGCTCAACTTCCGATGCAAACAAAATCTCTGCTGCTACTCTCTCTAGTCTAGCTTGACTAAGAGCCTCATCTAATAATTCGCAGCGTTCATATGATTCATCATTATATTCCTCCAAAGATGATATATCCTTCAAGAGTCTGCAAATTTTAGCTTGAAGCTCCAAGTTTTCTTCTAATAATGCCTTGTCCACATTCGATGATATTGATTCTCTCACTTGTCTAAATTCCTCATCATCGTCATGCGCATTATCTTCATACCTCAAAATTCCACCCTGCACCATTGAAACAACTCGATCCCCTTCCATCTCTATGTAAAGTTTCTCTATCATATCGCGTAGCTCAGCCTCCAACTCATCAGTCCCCTCATGTTGCAACTCTTCTCCATCATCATCGTTGCTCTGTGTATATGAGTCATCAGAAATGACCGGTTGTTGTGATTGAAGCCCTAGAACATTTAGGTCCAACTTTTCTTCTAATAATGCCTTGTCAACTCGATCCCCTTCCAGCTGTATGTAAAGTTTCACTATCATATCGCGTAGCTCAGCCTCCAACTCTTCTTCTTCATCATCATCATCACCACCATCACTCTGTGTATCTGAGTAGTAATTTGAGAAGTTACTGCTGGATGAATCTCGTACTGGTTTGTTCGTGAGGGCCAATACCATCATCCTGATAGCTGGATTCTTACTAATTTGTCCTCTGAAGTGATTATTATTCCCTATAGAAGAAACACCTCGTTTTAGTTGCCTAGAGCCCACCGAGCTCACATGAGCATTTGACTGCTTAGAGCTATGGAGTTTAGATAAAAGAGGCAGGGAGATTTTGCCTGAACTAACATTGGATGCGCCTTGTGATGAAATAAGACCTGAATTAGGAATGCTGTTTAGAAGCTCTCCTGTCTCATGATTATAGCGCTCAGCCAATAAACAATGTATGCGGTAGCACTTGTCAACAAGGTTGATTAGTTCTTGTCTACTCTGATCATACATTTCGAACTTCTTAGCAAATGAGACTGCATTTGAATCTTCAATGATTGTCAGCATCCTTCTAAAATTCCGGTTCATCTCTGAAATATCAAGTAAACTTGAATTGAATATGTATGTATGAGTTAATATCCCAATGCTTACGAAAGTCACTCTACTTCAATTCTTACTCCAAAACTCACTCAACTTTGATTTTTACTCACTTTAACTTAAAGTATTTTTTTTTACTTACAAAGTCTCTTTTCTTCTTCTTTTTTTCATTTAAAATTTGCATATATGAAATTTTTATTTAGCTGAGTGACCATGGAGGATATTAACTCATGTATATATGGATCTATCACAACACAATAAGCTTGGTTTATGTAGCACTTGCAAATAGCTAAATAAGTAGTAAAATATCAACAAAAATAACTTACCTTCAAGATTCTCTTGAAGCCACTGGGAGTTGCTGTTTTTGGGTCCAAATAAGCTATCCAACCATCTGGGACGTTGTAATTTCTTTGATTCCATCTTCTTCATCTGGTTTTGATTTGGCGGTACAACCAGTAAGTAATAAAGCACTTCTAATTAACTCTCTCTGTAATGTTGGTTAGTACTGCCCTCCCATCCATCCACTAATTATTGGGATATATATTATTAATCATGCGTTTAGATAGGGTTAACAATAATTGACGTGGTCAATACATTCAACATTTCTTGATTTTATTATGGCAAACGCTTATTTGAAGTAGTACAGAAAAAACAAAGCTATACACATAAAAACTAATTTCTTTTTCACTTCTAAATTAATGAGAAGAAATTGAAAATTTTGAAAGATGTTACCTTTTAAGTTTGTCTTGAAGCTTCTAATATTGAAGGAAACTGATAGAGACCAAAATTAGCCTTCAACTATTCGAAATAACCCTCAAATTCTAAGTCTCCAGCAACGTGTTAAGACTTTCTATTGGACCTGAATGCCTGCCTTTTTAAAATTTATTTAAGAGGGTATATGAGATTGCATTAATTAGACGTACGAAGACAAATGGGAGGAATAAATTTTACAAATATGAATGCATTCTTGTTGGTTGTTGAATTGGTACATTATCATTGATTTTCCAACATTGACTTTTGTTCAGAACTCTATTATTAAGTCAATAACAACAACATTATCATTATCACTGTGATGAAAGTAGAGAAGTTATTTCTCACCAACTCTTAACTCTTAAACAGTTAAACACTGTTATAATGTCTTTTGCAAGTATGAATCATAGTTTGGATAATTCTCAGTCTCTCAAACAAATCAATAAAAACTCTCTTTGGCTTAATTATATCTGTCGTTAAGTATTAGAAAAGGGCCAAAAATATCTTTCAATTATTCGAAATAGCAACGTGTTAAAACTTTCTCTTGAACTTGAATATATGTGTCATTTTTTATTTATAAGGGTATATGCGTTTGCAATAATTAGACATACGGAGACAGATGGGAGGCGGAGCAGTAAATGTGAAAAATATGTCAAATGTCGGTGGTTGAATTTGTACGTTTCATTGATTTTTCATCTTTGACTATTCTTCACAACTCTACTATTAAGTCATCAGCAACAACATGGTTAGTGTGATCCCACAAGAAAAATTATTTTGAATAAATTGTCAACTCAAACTCTATTATTAAGTTAATTAAACTAAAAGCTTTATCAATCACCTCAACTTTGATAGGAAAAAATAAAATCACCTAGGAGAACATTTGGGCCACAAACAGGCTCATAATTCGTTAATTTGTCTAAACATTCTACACAGCTACAAGTGGAAGATTGACACGACTAGAAATCAACTTTCTACCTTAAAATTTATGGATCTTTTATTAATGCTTATCAAAAATTACATTTCATAGTTTCATATTCCAATTTTTCAATGACCAAGGTGTCCTCTGGAAGCAAACCACTACAAAGATTACATGTTCATCTACTGCACACAAAAGACAAATCTTTGTGGCCATCTGCTGCATGCAGAAAGAGACTAACATCATCTTCGGCCATTGCATGTGCAACAAGATCAGCAGGCAAATATAACCGGAAAACAAAAGTATAGCCACATTTTATAGAAATACACAAGATAACATCTCCCACAAGATTAAATCTAAACAAACTCTCTCTCATAAGCAAAGTTGCACCAAACGTCAACATGTTTCCTCAGGTTAAACACAAAGCAAAACATACAAAACTCCAACATACTCTATTATGAGAAGAAATTGTCCAACTAACAATCCCCAAGCTGTATCAGGTCCCAGCTTTCCGACGTCCAACACGAGCAACGAAACCAGCCTTGATAGGAGCAACTGATCTTCCAGAGCCACACTGTAAGAAAATAAACAAAACAAAAACAAGTTAAACATGAGAAATAAACAATTTAAAGCTAACTTGTTTTCCATTATTCAATATTTTCCTAGTACCCTTTCCAAATTGGAAAAAAGAAACAAGAGAGGAGGAAAAATGCAAACAATTTTTAAAGGTGATCGTGTAAATAAGAAAGCAGCCATTTTCCTCTTTTTTTGAGGTAAAAAGCAGGCAGGCAGGCAGGGTTGAAAGAGATAGGGAATACTAAATAAATTAAGATAAAGGGAAGGCCTGAGATCTCATATATATTTCTAAGATATATGATCTGGCAATTGAAACTTCACATTTTGTCCCAGAAGTAGAGCCTAGAATCTAGAAGCACCAGCACTTGCTCAGCGAAATCCCAAAGAGAGAACTTTATACACCCCACTCACCCTATGCACCACATGGATTCAAAGGAAACAAAAACCTAAAAGTACCTAGACAATCACCTGCCACAAAGTCCATTCTCTATTTGTCTGATGGAAGAAAAATTGGAGCACAAGTTACAAAGATATGCTTTTCCATTCACAAAGTGAAAGTTGAATGCAGATAATTAACAGATATCGCGTCTATTTGAATAAGTACCTTCTTGCATCGGAGGAAGAAAAGACGGTTCTCTTTTGAAAGGATAGTATCTGGACTTTTACAGCCATTGCAAATGACATACTCATCTGAAAGCAAAAGAGCATTGCCGAGAGCCGTTAGATCGTAGGATGCAGAAGCGCATACAAAACACTATTAATTAACATGTAAAAACAGAAAGAATGTCATCTCTAAATAGCTGCAGCCTGCATATATAGATCAGGGATTGACAACAGGAACTTACTGACATATCGGCAGAGGATTCCTAGGAGCAAATCTTCCCTTGATGACCACCAATCTTTGATGCCCATCAAGTGATCCACTAGTCCCCATTTCAGCCAGCAAGAATGTCATAACATGCTCAGGCTGCCTATGCATCCTATAAATACAAAACAAATAATCAAGCAGTGCAATGAGGTAGAACATACAGAAAGACAAACTGACCAAATTAAAACTCACAGGGAATCCAATGATAACCTTCCACTAGTGATGCAATTTAACAGACTATTATCAATCATGAGACATTATACAGCATTGAATAGTTGCATGAAAGAGAAAGTTGCTAGAGGTGCACATGAACTATTTCGGTGCAGCAATATATTCCATCATATAAAGTGTTTGATGTTTTAGCCGAACTATTTCGGTGCAGCAATATATTCCATCATATAAATTGTAGTTAAACAACTAACTACAATTCTTAGCCATGTAAGGCAGCAATGAAAAACCAAACTTTATATTGTGATTGGTGAATATGGTGGTCACTATCAAAGTACAAGCTGTGGGGAAATTGACAAGGTGCAAGGATCTTCTGCACGTAGTCACTTACTAAAGCAATTAGCATATGATGTCTGTTGTCAAAACAAATAAAAAAAATACACGTCCATGATGCTGAATATAAGCCATTCAACCAAAAAAGAACAAGTGGACAGCAGTAATTGATGCAAAGGTTACAAGGAAAGAGAGCCAAGTGACAAAAGAACTTACGTCTTGCAAAGATCCATGAAATTCACAAACACAGTTTTCTTTGTGCCTTCACGAAGAACTTGAGGGGATCTCATAACTGTCCTTCGCCTATCTCCAGCAAAGCTCAGGATTATTCTCACGGAGAATGTTGAATACTCTACCCAGAAGCTGCAGAATCGAAAGCAAAAATCAATTGCAATTAACAAAAGGCCTAAAAGCAAACCAGTAGTACTGTGCATCAGGAGACGACAATCAGATCTATGCCACTAGTTCCGTATAGCAAATAAAGCAGTCAACCTTTGCACGAAGAAGTACAATGGACACATCTTTGGCAATATAGTCCTAGTCTTAGCACAGATTCCTTATATTAGAAATGTATACAAATGATACTGCCCTTACACTTAGCTTGTCTTAGGGGTTATTTAGTTATCCATCAAAAAGTTTACATAAGCATAAGATAACCATCAAAGTACCAAACATTTGAAAACTTTTTGAAACTTAGGGTGACTTGGCGGTTACACAAACTACACAAGGTTTTTAATTGTATGCCTGGACTGGTTCTGTGAGGTTGCAGTAATGCATTATTACTCGGCTCAAGTTCATGTGTGAGTAGCTACATATTATCTTGCACAATCGAGTGCATTCTAAAAGTGTCTCTTAGCAGGTATATATGCATAAAAATACAGACAATTAAGAAAATATCTCCTCATATTCATAATCTCGATCAGTTCCCTCCCAAGGTAACTGTTTTCTTCATTATATTCCTCCAAGATTAAACTACTTGAGTCATTTTATTGCACTGCATTTTCTCTATTCAACCTAGAATCCTAACAATCACTTAATATAATGTATTTATGGACCTATCACCACACATTTTCATATAGCTAGATAAGTATTCTAGGATTGGACAAGGACATACAATGCAAGTAAATAAGTATTCCCACAACTCCCAATCAGTGGAAATAAGTCTTCAGGTTTATGACCACTGAGAGCTTTTTCTTATGCTGATTTGTTTTTTTTTTCTTGCTTACTCACTCAGAATGTGTGTATCAACTGGTTTAGGAGCCGAAAGAGCATTCAGCATCTATCTATCGACAGTAGTGGATTGAAGAGTTTAACAAAACTATATGTGTCTGTGCATATTGTTTCGCTTGTAAATAACTAATACTAAGGAAGATATAACTAAATCAAAACAAACAAGCGCATGTAGCTCAGTTGATAGAGCATCTGTTTCATAAGCAGAAAGAATTTCAACAATCATCTCGATAGAACATATATTTTTCCAGTGAAAGTAGAATGCTATTATGTCATTACTAGCAAACAGGTGCAGCATTGAAGAAAAGGAAAGTTGAACAAAAGTATAAACAATAGTACAAGAGAAAGAGTGTGGTTGTAATACTGGGACTAATACATTTCTCTTCGACTCATTCTACCATTTTACTCATCAGTCCCCTCATGTTGCAACTCTTCTCCATGATCAGCGTGGTTCTCTGTACCTGAGTAGTTACTATTGGATGAATCTTCTGATTCTAATTGGGCTAGGATCTTACCAAAATTAGAATCATGAAAACTGGATTTTTACTAATTCTTCCTCTGATGTGATGATTACTCTCTTTAACAGAAACACCTCGTTTTAGTTGCTTAGAGAGACGGAGGACACATCAAAATTTATCTGCTTAGAGCTAGGGAATTTAGATGAAGGAAGCGGGGATTGTATCGCAGAGCTTTTGCCTGAACTAACATTGGATATGCTAATTTGTGATCGAATAAGATCTGAACTAGCTAGCTAGGATGTAGTTCAGAAGCTCTCTTGTCCCATAATTATAGATAGCGCTCAGCCAATGAATAATGTATGCGCGCGGTAACACTTATCAACAAGGTTGATTAATTCTTGTCTACTCTGATAATATATACATTTCCACCTTTTTAACAAATGAGTCTGCATTTGTATCCTAGCTCCTTCTAACATTCCGATTCATCTCTGAAATATCAATTGGTAAACTTGGATCTATCTATCACTACACAATAATCTTGGTTTACGTAGCACTTGCAAATAACGGAGAAAATAAGTAGTACTCCGTAAAAAATGACAAAAAGTAACTTGGAGTTGCTGTTTTTGGGTCCTAAGAAGCTATCTAACCATCCGTTTGGTTCTGAAGGGTAATTAGGACGTCATGCGGAAGCTTACAATTGCAAATAATATGATTCATAAATTAGATGACAAAAACTTATACTAAAAACTAATATTTATATGAAAACTAATATAAAGAAAAATATTAAAACTGTTGAGAGATTAAATCTCCCCATAAACAAAACTCACTAAACGACTACATTGTAGATTCTATTATGTTATGCTATGAGAATAGGGATCTTCAATTTATAGATCTCCAAACATTTCCTCTAAGGAAAGAATAAACCAAATATGGAAGAAAATTATATTTTCCTTTTAGAAAAAGTTCAAGCATTTATGATAATACTTTGACTTTTCTTTAAGGAAAAAATAAATTTCAAATAAGGTAAGAAAATCAAGGCAAAACCCTAACACCATCTGGGACGTTGTAATTTCTTTGATTCCATCTTCGTTTTGATCTGGCGGTACAACCACTAATAAACCAATTAACTCCCATCCATCCACTTAATAGGATATATATTATTAATCATCCATTCAACATTTCTTGATTTTATTATGGCAAATGCTTGCTTGAAAAGTAAGGCAGAAACACCAACTTATATCTGTGTATAAGTAAATACACATAAAACTAACTTATTTTCGACATCTAATTTAATGAGAAAAGATTGAAGCTTCTGAAAGATGTTACCTTTAAGTTTGTCTTGAAGCTGCTTCTAATATTGAAGGAAATTGATTCAGACCAAAATTAGTCTTGAACTATTCTACTTACATATATCTATCTATCAATATTTATTTGGAAAAGTATCAAAATTAGCCTTGAACTATTCGAAATAGCTCTCAAATTCTGAGTCTCCAACAACGACTCTCTCTTGGACTTGAATATATGTCTTTTTTTATTTATTTACGAGGGCATATGAGATTTCCGTTAATTAGACGTACGATGACAGATGGGAGCAATAAATGTCAAAAATATGAATGCATGCATGCATGTCGGTTGTTGAATTGGCACGTTTTCATTTGATTTTCCAATATGACTATTCTTCACTATTATTAAGTCAATAACAACATCATTATCAGTGTGATGAAGGTAGAGAAGTTATTAATTTCAGACAAACTCTAAACTCTATTATTTAAGTCATTTGTAAGTTTGGATATTTCTCAATCTATTTCGTGTTTCATTAATTACTAGAACAGATATCAGCATTTTACAGTTGAATTTGTTGCTGAATCATTTTGAACATATATTGTTCCCATTTCCTACTGATTTGATCCCCACTGCCTCTTAGAAAATCAAGAAAAACTTTCTTTGACTTAATTAAATCTGTCATTAAGTATTAAAAGAGGGTGAAAAATATCTTCCAACTATTCAAAATAGCAACGTGTTATGACTTTCTCTTGGACTTGAATGTGTCATTTTTTATTTACGAGGGTATGTGCATTTGCAATAATTAGACATACGGAGACAGATGGGAGCAGTAAATGTGAAAAATATGGATGCATGCATGTCGGTGGTTAAATTGGTACGTTTCATCACAACTCTATTATTAAGTCATCAGCAACAATATGGTTAGTGTGATCCCACAAGTGACTCTGAAGAAGGTAGAGAAGTAGGGAAGTTATTTTCGATAGATTTTTAATCTTCGGCCATTGCATGTGCAACAAGATTAGAAGTTGAATATAAGCGGAAAACAAAAGTATAGCCCCATTTTATAGAAATAAACAAGATAACATCTCCCACCAAAGTAAATCTAAACAAACTCTCTCTCATAAGCAAAGTTTCACCAAACGTGAACATGTTTCCTCAGGTTAAACACAAAGCAAAACATACAAAACTCCAACATACTCTATTATGAGAAGAAACTGTCCAACTAACAATCCCCAAGCCGTATCAGGTCCCAGCTTTCCGATGTCCAACACGAGCAACAAAACCAGCCTTGATAGGAGCAACTGATCTTCCAGAACCACACTGCAAGAAAATAAACAAAACAAAAACAAGTTAACATGAGAAATAAACAATTTAAAGCTAACTTGTTTTCCATTATTCAACATTTTCCTATTACCTTTTTCAAATTGGAAAAAAAAAAAAAAAACAAGAGAGGAGGAAAAATGCAAACAATTTTGAAAGGTGATCCTTTGTAAATAAGAAAACAGACATTTTCCTCCCCTTTTGAGCTAAAAAGCAAGCTCACCTCTATCTATTACAGGTGTACCGAGATGGGGAATACTAAAACCTTGTTGTTTTTTGATTGGTTAAGAGATGGGAATATTAAAGCATTCTCGAGGGTAGAACAGATATCACATGATCAAAAGCATAAACAATTCATTCAAGAAAAGCAACCCAGTATAAATAAATTAAGATAAAGGGAAGGCCTGAGATCTCATATATATTACTAAGATATATGATCTGGCAACGGAAACTTCATAAATTTGGAGCCTAGAATATTCTAGAAGCACCAGCACTTGCTCACCGCAAGCTCAAAGGTTGGTTGCGTTTATTTCTTCATTATATTCCTCCAAATATGACATTTCATTCAAGCGTCTGCAAATTTCACCGTGAAGCTCCAAGGTTTCTTTTAATAATGCCTTGTCAACATTCGATGATACTGATTCTTTCACTTGTCCGTCATCTTCATACGGCCTCAAAATTCTGTGTTGCAACATTGAAACAACTCGATCCCATTCCATTTGTATATAAAGTTTCTCTATCATATCGAGCAGATCAACCTCCAACTCATAATCACTCCCCTCTTTTTCATCATCATCAAGTTTCTCTATCATATTGCGCAGATCAGCCTCCAACTCATAATCACTCCCGTCTTTTCCATCATCATCAAGTTTCTCTATCATATCGCGCAGATCAGCCTCCAACTCATCACTCCCCTCTTTTCCATCATCATCGTCACTCTCTGCATCTGAGTGGTAACTTAACATCGTGAACTTTTTTTCAGAAACACCTCGTTTTAGTTGCTTAGAGACCACCGAGCGCTCAGGAGCATTTGGCTGCTTAGAGCTACTGGGTTTAGATAAAAGAGGCCGGGAGCTAACATTGGATATACTAATTTGTGATGGAATAAGACCTGAATTAGGAATGTTGTTCAGAAGCTCTCCTCTCCCATGATTATAGCACTTGTCAACAAGGTTGTTTAATTCTTGTCTAGTCTCATTATACATTTCCACCTTTTCAGCAAATGAGTCTACATCTGAATCTTCAATGATTTTCAGCTTCCTTCCAACATTCTCGTTTATCTCTGAAATATCAAGTAAACTTAGAGTATGTATGTTTGTATGTACGAATTTGTAGGCATTTGGACATGCAATTTCATATCGCGATAAGAAATCATCGTTTCCACATGAGATTTCATCAATCTCAAATTCTCCAAAAATGATAATTTTAGATTTTCACTTAATATTTATAGTTAAGTGACTTTTGAAGTAAAAATCAAAATTAAGTCACTTTGTAAGTAAAACACTAGAGGGGGTTGTTTGACTAATAATGCTAATGCACAAATTATTTTTTATTAAGTGTTTGGTTCATTGTTTCACACATAATCTTGTATTTGGTTTAGAACTCTACAAAAAACTTCTTTCCTATTATACCCTTAAGTTTTTATGAGATATTCTATTTCGTTTAATTGGGTCAAGGTTGATAACATGCGGACAATATTAGTATTTTTTTGTGGCCTTCTAACTAGTTAGGAGAAGAATAATTTTGTCGTCATGTTTGTTATTTTCTCACTTAAATTATTTGAGAATAAAACTCTACAAAAATCTTCTTTACAATTATACCCTTGAATTTTTGTAGGATTTTTTATTTTATTTAATTAGTCAAGCTAAATACTAAAAAATATATAAAACAATTGTTCTTAATTTTGAGGTGTAATGTGCCACTACGAAGATCCTTGATAGGACGGTGTATTTCTAATTTTTTTGTTGATCAAATATTACCTTAAACTTTAAATATATTTAAGGCTACTTAAATTGTTCAAATACTTGAAGCTTATTTATTTTATTTTTTTAAAAAACAAATAGTTCAAGTGGTCAATCAACTTACTACATTTAAAAAGAAAAAGAAACCAAAAAAAAAAAATCAACTCAATATAGCAAACCATACATGGGAGGAAAAAAATGTAAGTTTGTGAAATCATGAAATTACTCTGAACCAATTTTAATCCTATGATTATTCTAATTAATACTGCCTCGAGTTCATATAGTTGAATGACTTTTGAAGTAAAAATAAAAGTTGAGTAACTTTCTATGTTAAAACTCCTTAACTGGAAGATATTAACTCATGTATGGATCTATCACAACACAATAAGCTTGGTTTACGTAGCACTTGCAAATAGATAAATAAGTAGTAAAAAATCAATAAAAATAACTTACCTTCAAGATTCTCTTGAAGCCACTTGGAGTTGCTGTTCATGGGTCCTAAGAAGCAATCTAACCATCTGAGATGTCGTGATTTCGTTGATTTCATCTTCATCATAAAGCACTTCTAGTTAACTCTCTGTGTAATGTTGTTTAGTACTACCCTTCCATTCATCCACTTATTGGGATATATATTATATATTGATCATGCGGTTAGATATGGTAACAATTGTCATGGTCGATCCATTCAACAATATTTCTTGGTTTTATTATGTCAAACACTTGATTGAAGTAATGCAGAAAAAACAAAGTTATTTCTGTGTATAAGTAAATACATAAAACTAATTTATTTTCGACATCTAATTTAATGAGAAAAGATTGAAACTTTTGAATGATGTTACCTTTAAGTTTGTCTTGAAGCTTCTGATATTGAAGGAAACTGACTGAAACCAAAATTAGGCTTGAACTATTCGATTTACATATATCTATCTATCAATATTTATTCGGAAAAGAATCAAAATTGGCCTTAAACTAATAGAAAGAGCTCTCAAATTCTGAGTCTCCAGCAATGTGTGAAGACTTTTTCTTAGACTTGAATATATGTCTTTTTCTTATTTATTTACTAGGGCATATGAGACTTGCATTATTTTAATTATACATACAATGACAGCTGGGAGTTGTTGAATTGGTACGTTTTCATTGACTTTTAAACATGAGTATACTTCAGAACTCTATTATTAAGTTAAGAGGAAATACATAATTACCATATGAAACTTATATTTTTTCCGTTTCATTTTATGTGAGGTATTTTGACTTGACACAGAGTTTAAGAAAGAAAGGAGAACTTTTAAAACTTGTGGTTCAAAATGAATGATAGAAATTTGTGTGGCTGTAAATCATTTCAGTAAGGGTAAAATACACATTTTATAGTTAAATTGTTTTTTAATATAGAAATGTGTCATTCTTTTTGGGACTGACTAAAAAGGAAAGTAAGTCACATAAATTGGGACAGAGGGAGTACCTTTTTTTTAAGTAGACACCTTAAGTTTGCGGAGGTCCTGTTACCCCACGAAACCATTCAAAAGAACAATAAATACATCATTTTTTCACCATCAATGCTCTCAATCCAAGAGTGTGTGCCACACCTCCAACCCATTTAACAAAGGCCGGGTTTTATCCTAACCCATTCATTTTTTAACCCATAACCCCAATCCTAAGAAACTTCCAACCCATTTCACTTTCACCTACCCTCATCTCTCTCTTCGACTGATCAAAAGCCTAAGAAACTTCATAAGGCGAAGTTGGTAACATTGCTAGTTGAAATTTGTTGAATAGTGGTGTCAGAACGAATAAGTGAAGGCTCATAGGTTAGTTATTTGAAAAATATTTGAAAAAAAGTTTATTTTACATTGTAAGTGAATTTTATAGTTATTCATATATTTTGAAAATGAGTTTTATTGAAAAGTCAGAAATTCGAAGGTTGTTGATCAATTAATGTAGTGCTCATCTTGCGAAAGTGAATCAAAGTTAGAGAGATATTGCAGTCCTTACTCGCCATGACACTATAGCAAGCTTCAATGGGTTGTCAATAGTGTTTGAATTAATTTTGGGGAAGATGGGTTTTTTTTAAAAAAATAAAAAATTCAATTTACAATGCCACATGGCTGTTTTATATTGGTTTGGGGTTGTTTTTTAAAATACTCACGCGCCCCCGAAAACGTGAAAATACAGCAGATGCGGAAGCGGGTCAAAATGTTATATTTAGTCTGGTCGAAAATAGTTTAATGGGGTAATAGAACTTCCGCAAAATTTATGTGTCTACTTCAAAATAAGGTCTAAGTTCAGTGGGGACTTTATGTATTTTCTCTTAAGTTAATAACAACAACATTATTGAAGGTAGAGAAATTATTTTTGACAAACTCTTAACTCAAACCGTCAAATTCTATTATAAAGTCATGTGTAAGTATGGATCATGGTTTGGATATTTCTCAATATTCTATATATAATAAGCCACATGCAACTATGATTGTAACTATCTTGTTAGCTTTCAACCAAAAGCTAACAAGATTTTTAGTTACATATTTTGTAACTTAGATTTTGAGAAAAAATATTAAGTGATACTTGAAGTTGTCCCGAATTTTCAAAAAGACACATTAACTTTGCGTGCGTCCTATTACCCCACAAAACATTCAAAATCACAATAAATACACATTTTTTACACAATATTTCCACTTTGGACAAAAATATCCTTCGAATGTGCAATTTCTTAAAAACAAAAAGTCGGACCCATTATTGATGTATTGAACGATGCTTTGGTAATTTCCTATAATGAATTCGTTTTGTTTGTTTCTTTTAAATTTATTTTACTATACTTAATAATTGTATAAAATATTATGAATCACGATAATTAATTACTTAAATATTTAAAAATATAAAAATATATAAACGATCTGATTGACTCTTCAAATTTTACCGCTGACACATAAATTGGGACAAATGAAATAATATATATTATTTGAAAATTTCTTAGAAAGTACTATAAATTACAGTAATTAACAGCTAAAAATATTTCAAAGACAAAAAAAATTAATTGAGTCTCAAAATTTTTTAGTACTACATAAATTGAGAAAGAAGAAATGATCTCTATTATTTGAAAATGACGTAAAAGTATTACAAATCATACAATAAGAATTAACAATTTAAAATTTTAAAAGACTTTAATGTTTTATACTTAGAGCCCATTTGGATTGACTTAAAAAAAGTAAATTTTTAAAGTGCTGGAACTTATTTTTAAAATAAGTAGTTATGTGTTTGGATAAAAGTGTTGCAGTTGAAAAAAAAGTTGTTGATGTGTTTGGCAAATAAGTGCTGGTAAACACTTTTTTTTTATCAAAATGTCTGAAATACCCTTTAAGTTGTTAACATGATAAAAAGTTGATTAATTTAAGGTTTTTATACTTAAAAAAAATTAAAACAAAATTAATTTATGTTTTACATCCATAAGTAATAATATTTTCCTATCATTCACATATTTCTTTACCACCTTATAAGAGGAATATAAATTCATATTTCAGAAATAATAATAATAAAATAATAATAATAATAATAGTAATAGTAATAATAATAATAATAATAATAATTATTATTATAATAATAATGATAAACATAATAATAATAATAATAAAAATAATAATAATATAATAATATTTATTATTATTATTATTATAATAATAATAAAATAATAATAATAATAATAATAATAATAGTAATAATAATAATAATAATAATAATAGTAATAGTAATAGTAATAATAATAATTATAATAATAATAAACATAATAATAATAATAGTAATAGTAATAATAATAATAATAATTATAGTTATAATAGTAATAATAATAATAATAATAATTTAATAATAAAAATAACAATAATAATAGTAATAGTAATAATATTAATAATAATAATAATAATAATATTAATAATAATAATAATAATAATATAATATAATATAATAATAACAATAATAATAATAATAATAATATTTCAATATGGGCAATTTGGAAATTGTATAAAAGAATTAAGGGCAAAAAGGTAATATACTTGGTCAACAAAAAAGGGCTTTTAAGTTAAAAAAAAAAAAAAGAAGCTCCCCTCACCTAGCTTTTAGCTTTTGGCTTAAAATAAGTCATTTTTGACTTAAAATAAGTCACTTTAATAATTGTCAAACATTCTAATAAGTCAAAAACTGGCTTTTAAGTCAGTTTGACCAGCTTAAAAGCCCATCCAAACAGGCTCTTATTCTATTTCCACTTTGGACAAAAATATCCTCCCAATATGCATATTTTTTTAAACAAAAAGTGGGACCCATTATTGATGTATTCAAGGATGCTTTGGTAATTTTTCTATGATGAATTCGTTTTGTTTGTTGTTTAATCTTTTTAAAATAATTGTATAAAATATTATAAATCACAACAATTATTTACTTAAATATTCAAAAGATATAAAAATATGTAAAAGATCTGATTAACTCTTCAAATGTTATCGGTGACACATAAATTGGACAAATGAAATAATATATATTATTTGAAAATTACTTACAAAGTACAATAATTTACAGTAATTAACAATAGAATATTTTAAAGACAAAAAAAATTGATTGAATCTCAAAATTTTATTAGTACCACATAAATTGAGAAAGAAGAAATAACCTTTATTATTTCAAAATTGCGTAAAAGATATTACAAATCATACAACAATAATTAGCAATTTAGAATGTTAAAAGACATAAAAATTTTTTTACCATAGTTAACAATAATTAAAAATTTAAACTATTTTAAATTAATATCAAAGTTTGATTAACTCTTTAATTTTGTCTTTGTCACATAAATTGAAACAAAAAATGATACATATTGGGCCCGTGCTAGCACGGGCTCCGATGTCTAGTATATATATATATATATATATATATTTTGTGTTTCAATAATTACTTGAACAGATATCAGCATTTTGCACTTGAATTTGCAACTGAATCATTTTGAACATATATTGTTCCCATTTCCTACTTATTTGATCCCCACTGCCTCTTGCAAAAGCTTTCGTGTTTATTTTATCTTTTTACATAGAAGAGCCTACCAGTGAAAGTACGATTGGAAATTGATCAAGACCAAGAAACACAACAAGATCTCTCAAACAAATCAATAAAAACTGACTTAATTAGATCTGTCATTATGTATTAAAAAGGGCGAAAAATATCTTCCAACTATTCGAAATAGCAACGTGTTAAGACTTTCTCTTGGACTTGAGTATATGCGTTTGCAGTAATTAGACATGCGGAGACAGATGGGAGCACTAAATGTGTTTATGAGGGTATACGCGTTTGCAGTAATTAGACATACGGGAGCACTAAATGTGAAAATTACGCATGTCTGTGGTTATATTGGTACGTTTCATTGATTTTTCAACTTGACTTTTCTTCACAACTCAATTATTAAGTCATCAGCAACAATATGGTTAGTGTGATACCACAAGTGAATCTGAAGAAGGTGGACAAGCAGAAAAGTTATTTTCTATATATTTTTCATCTTCAGCCATTGCATATTTGGATGCGCAACAAGACCACCAGCAGGCAAATATAAGCGGAAAACAGAAATAGAGCCACATTTTATAGAAATACACAAGATTAAATCTCTCTTCATAAGCAAAGTTGCACCAAACGTGAACATGTTTCCTCAGGTTAAACACAAAGCAAAACATACAATAAAACTCCCAACATACTCTATTATGAGAAGAAATTGTCCAACTAACAATCCCCAAGCCGTATCAGGTCCAACACGAGCAACGAAACCAGCCTTGATAGGAGCAACTGATCTTCCAGACCTGCACTGCAAGAAAATAAACAAACCAAAAATGAATTAACAATTTAAAGCTAACTTGTTTTTCATTATATTCAATATTTTCCTATTACCCTTTTCAAATTGGAAAAAAATACAAGAGGGGAGCCATTTTTTGAAGTAAAAAGCAGGCAGGCAGTCAATTCTTCACCTATATTATAGGGGTTGAAAGAGATGGGGAATACTAAAGCCTTGTTGTTTTTTGATTGGTTAAGAAATGGGAATACTAAAGCATTCTCGAGGGTACAAACTAATGCACCACGCTTCTTCATCCAATCTTCTTTATGACTCATTATCCAGAATTTCAAAAGGATGAGAGTGCACTATTATTACAAAAAAAATGCATTTAAAATATAAATTTAATTGATTTGATCTTTAATTTCCTTAACATTGAACTGTTAAATTTTAAAAATTATAGGTCGAAAATATATAATACTACTAGTTTTAAATTTTAATATACACATTTGATTTAACTATATAAAAAAATTACACTGGTAATTTATTTATTTTGAAATTTCCGACTTAACACACATAAAATTTTTGAAATATTATAGCAAAAAAACAAATGAAAAATTAACTAAAACGCCAAAAATGTTACCAATAACCACTTGGAGAGGTGTTACTTGAAAAAAAAAGATAGATATAAAATTTAAATTTCTATCATCACGTGGAGAGGTGCACCCAATCATCATTGTATTATTATATAATACTAACGTGAGTTCACACATCTATATTTAAATATTTTTTTTAAAAAAACAACACTACTGTATATGATTTATATAGGTGAGCATGGGTTAACGTCAATCCCCTCTAGATACATCCTGAGGTCAGCTGTAAGCCTTGCAACTCTGGCTTTCAACATATCTCTCTCTGCTACTATCGCTTCTATTTCTTCACTATATGACATTTCCTTCAAGAGTCTGCTAATTTCAGCTTGAAGCTTCAAGTTTTCTTCTAATAACGCCTTGTCCACATTTGATGATATAAATTCCTCATCATCGTCATGCGTATTATCTTCATACTTCAAAATTTCACCCTGGAACATTGAAACAACTCGATCCCATTCCAGCTCTATGTAAAGTTTCTCTATCATATTGTGTAGTTCAGCCTCCAACTCATCATGTCCCAACTCGTCTCCATCATCATCGTTGTTCTTCGTATCTGAGTAGTTACTACTGCTGAATGAATCATCTGATTCTGATTGTGATTTGGAACTGATAATTTTCGTAACAGGAGGCAGGGGAGGTGGAGGCATACTAATTTTGACCGGTTGTTGTGATTGAATCCCTCCTTTTGAATTAACATTTAGGTCCAACATTTCTTCTAATAATGCCTTGTCAATTCGATCCCCTTCCAACTGTATGTAAAGTTTCACTATCATATCGCGTAGCTCAGCCTCCAACTCTTCTTCATCATCATCGTCACTCTGTGTATCTGAGTAGTAATTTGAGACTTCCTCTTGCTGCAACTCACGCCGTGTATCTGAGTAGTTATTTGAGACTTGCTCATACTGCAATTCACTCTGTGTATATAAGTAGTAATTTGAGAAGTAGGGTGGTTCTGATGGGAGCCAGAAGGGGAACGGCATCGGTAGTTGAGAATTACTGCCGTAGACGGGAGGGCCCATGTACATAGAGCAACAAGACACGCGATCTTCCTTTTTATCACTGATGTGATAATTACTCCGTTTAACAGAAACACCGCGTTTAAGTTGCTTAGAAACAGAGCGCTCATGATTATGAACATTGAGCTGCTTAGAGCTAGGATGTTGAGATAAAAGAGGCGGGGAAGTAATGTCAGGGGCATGTGATCGAATAAGATGTGAATTAGGAATGTAGTTGAGAACCTCTCCTGTCCCATCATTACACCGCTCCGCCAATGAACAATGTATACTGTAGCATTTTACAACAAGGTTGATTAATTCTTGCCTACGCTCATAATATATTTCCACCTTTCTAGCAAATGACTCTGCACTTGAATTTTCAATCACTTTCAGCATCCTTGTAACATTCCGGTTCATCTCTGAAATATCAAGTAAACTTCACTATGTATGAGTTAATATCCCAATCCCAATTTTATCACTCATTTTTACTTCAAATATCACATGTTCCTTTTTTTTTTTTTTTTACAAATCACCTGACTACCACATCCATTCCTCTCACTCTAAAGTTCTTAGGTTTATTTTTTAAAAATAATTTTTTGCGCAATTTTATCTCAACAAGAAGTTGTATTATTGTATTTTTGTTGATCGATATACCGAATATACTTCACTTAATCTATTTTGTTGTTTTTTTTCATTAAAATCTTAACATGAATTTTTTATTTAAAATCAAATTCTAAAAAAAAAAACCCATTCAAACTTCTTTTTATAAAAATGTTTACAATACGTTAGTTTAGTTATTTTATAAAATAATCCACTTAAACCTCTTTTAAAAAAATTACAATATGTTGTCAGTTTTTTCTTTTAAAAACATTCGATTACTAGAAAATATCAGCTTTACTTTAAATACAATTACCTAATAATGAAATATGTTATTTAGTTGTATTAAAATGTTTACAAAATAACTTTAAATGGATATTATTTTATCATATAAGCAAATTTTAATTAAGAAATAATAAAATAGGTTGAGACAAATCGCAAACATGTTACATCATGTTATCACAAACATATTTTTTTTCAGCAAATCGCTGCCGGAGCAGCGATTTAGGTTTTTAAAAATAAAATAAATAAATAAACTCTTTGCTCTGGCAACGATTATTGGTTTTTCTTTTAGAAAAAATAAACTCATAAACTCGCAGCTGGAGCAGCAATTTTATTAAAAGAAAAATTAAAAATTTATATTTTTGGCTGACCAAGCAGCGAGAAAGAAAGAAAACTAAACTCGTTAATAGCAGTAAAGTGAAAAAGGATCTCTTTCCCTCAGGAGCGATTTATCCCTTTTGATTTAAAAGAAAAATTTGATAGGTGGTTTTTGCATTTTGGAGAAAAAAAAGTGACTACAGACTCTATGGATCTATCACAACACAATAAGCTTGGCTTAACTAGCACTTGCAAATAGCTAAATAAGTAGTAAAAAATCGACAAAAATAACTTACCTTCAAGATTCTCTTGAACCCACTTGGAGTTGCTGTTTTTGGGTCCTACGAAGCTATCCCACCATCTGGGACCACGCAATTTCTTTGATTCCATCTTCTTCATCTTGTTTTGACCTGGCGGCACAACCAGTAATAAAGCACTTCTAGTTAACTCTCTATGTAATGTTGTTTAGTACTGTCCTCCCATCCATACACTTATTGGGATATATATTATTAATCATGCGTTTAGATATGGTGACAATTGTCATGGTCGATCCATTCAACATTTCTTGATTTTATTATGTCAAACACTTGCTTGAAGTAATGCAGAAAAAACAAAGTTACATCTGTATAAGTAAATACATAAAACTAACATATTTTCGACATCTAATTTAATGAGAAAAGATTGAAACTTTTGAAAGATGTTACCTTTAAGTTTGTCTTGAAGCTTGTGATATTGAAGGAAACTGACTGAGACCAAATTAGGCTTGAACTATTTGATTTACATATATCTATCTATCAATATTTATTTGGAAAAGAATCAAAATAGGCGGCCTTAAACTATTAGAAAGAGCTCTCAAATTCTAACATGTTAACACTTTCTCTTGGACTTTGAATATAGGTCTTTTTTTATTTATTTACGAAGGCATATGAGATTTGCATTAATTTATACATAAAATGACAGATGGGAGCACTAAATGTCAAAAATATGAATGCATGCACGCGGGCTGTTTAATTGGTACGTTGAAAAAAGGCAGAATTTTGGCACAAATTGCCAAGACACGGATAAATGACGAAAGTGTCCCTTAGGCTCCAAAACCGTTTGTATTTCCCTCTAAAAAAGAAAACCAACTTTGACATTTTAATAATTATTTGCTCTCTCTCTTACTTGACTCTTTTTATCTCCTTCAACTTCACTCTTCACTCTCGAAAGAAGAAGGATAGGCATTTCCAAACCAAAGAGCCTAAAAAGAGCACGTAAGGCATGGAGTAACAAAGAACCTTTGACCCTCTCCATAATAAGGTAGGGATCAAAGCCAATCCAATGAGACAGGAGCCGTTCTTATTTTAATTTGTTGATCAAGAATTTATTTTGTTGTTGGATTTATATAATTTTAACAAAATGGAATCGACTAGTCATAATAGCCAATTAAACGATGTATTGAATAATGTTTTGGGGTTAGATGAGGATTATAGTTTGTTGTCCCAAAATGATGGACATCATGAAGATTCCGATGATGCATACATTATTTGCATAGTAATGATGAAGATGTTATTAACAAGCTCTTTGAAGAAATGAATCAACCGGAGCAAGAGGAATCAATAAGTGTTAGTGACGGAGAGGAATATGAAGCTGAAGAAGAATGTGATGAACAGATAGATTCAACCAATGATGATAATTTTTCAGACCAACAATATATGGAAGGCCCTCTTGTAGATATGGTCTATTGTAGTGTAGAATCTCTTTTTGCTTTTTATAAAGAACATACTCGTTTAATTGGATTTGGAGTTCTTAAAAAGACTTCAAAAAAGAGAGGTTGTGAATACGCTAGGTATGTCTCATTCGCTTGTGATAAGAGTAGAAAACCAACTGCTAAGAATTATGGTAAAAGGTTGATTGCAAATGAAAAAGTTAATTGTGTTGTGATGCTTGATGATTCATGTCGCGTAACAACAATTATGACGGAGCATAACCATGAGTTGCAACCATCTTTGTCACGTTTTTTTTCTTGCCACAGGAAAATAAGTAAGGCATTAAAACGAAACCTTGAAGCCCATGACATTGCAGGAATTAGACCTGCCAAAAACATTAGACTTTTGAAAGTACAAGCACGTGGTCCAAATAGAATGGGATGCACACCTAAAGACTGTCAAAACTACATTTTTCAACAATGCAGGATGAGGACATTGTCATGCGATGTTGCGGCAATACAGAAATTCTTCGCTTCAATGCAGATGAAAGACGATGATTTTTTTTTATGTAATTGACACGGATAATGTTGGTAGACTTCGTAACGTAGTGTGGGTTCACACACATTGCAAGTATGCGTATCAAGAGTTTAGTGATGTTGTTTGTTTAGATTCAACGTACTTGGTGAATCAATGACGCATGCCGTTTACATCTTTTGTTGGTGTAAATCAACACAAACAGTCTATTCTTTTTGGCTGCGCTTTGCTCACAAGTGAGGATATTGAGACATACAAATTTGTTTTCTCTACTTGGCTGATAGCAATGGGCAATGCACCTCCAACGGTTATCCTCATTGATCAATGTGAGAGTATCAAGGAAGCAATTGCAGAGGTACTTTCAAACACCATCCATAGGTACTGTATTTGGCACATCATGACAAAGCTGCCTCAAAGCTTAAGGGTGTGTGGGACTTTAAGACTGTCAAGTCCGAATTTAAATCAATAATCTATAATAGCATCATTGTCAACGAATTTGAGGAAAAATGGGTTGGCTTTATTCAAAAATACGAGCTTCAACATAGACTATGGTTTATAATCTATACTTGGAAAAGGAAAAATGGATCCCTGTCTTCCTGAAACACTATTTTTAGGTTGGCATGATGTCCACCCAAAGAAGTGAGTCAATGTATGCATTTTTTTTGTTATATATATCTGGTCGAAGCTCTCTAAAGCAGTTCATCGATCAGTATTAGTTAGCCTTGCGATTTAAATATGAGAAGGAACTTCAAGTAGAAGCTGACTCATGAAAAAAGCATGCAACGCCTTGTAGTGATTTTGATTGGGATTTGCAGCTTCAAACCCATTATACTCGACCTATTTACAATGTCTTTGCAGCAGAGCATTTGAAGCGGTTGTACCACTGTGAAATTGAAGGACACCATGAGTTCAATGTTGTGATGTACAGTGTAACAGATTATTCCATATCTAATGATTTTCATGGAAATCGATTTGTTTACATTGTGGAATATCGGCCACGGAATCAATATATGGATTGCAATTGCAAGAATTTCCAAAGTGAAGGTGTTGTCTGCTGCCACATTTTAAAGACGATGTCTCATTATAGAATTAAAATGTTCCAGGACAGATATATTCTACGTCGGTGGAGAAGGGACGTAATTTGACCACACATAGGTAAATTCTTTCAAGGAGGTTATCCATTAATGACGGACGAGTACAAGAAGTACAACTCCTTGAAGAATGGTTTTATAGGAATTGTGATGTTGTGTTGGACAACAACGCTAAATATGCGGATTTCAAAAATGTTTTGAAAGGACGTTTCAATGCATATTGTAATTGGAATGACGAAATGGCAGTCCGTAGCGTTGGTGATCCAGACTCAGAAGAACATGTAACATTAATTAGGAACCCGAGGGAAGTCTGAACACGTGGAAGGCCTCTGACTAATAGATGTAGGAGAGGTGGTGGAAGGTGGAATAGAACATATTATCATGCAGATCAAGTGGGTGAGACTAGTCAAGGTCGTAAGGGTGTAGGTCGAAGGGCTGGTAGAGGTGGTCGAGGCGGTGGTATAAAGGCGTAGATTATTCATGTAATTTGTAATCGTACGTTATTTAAAAAAATAATTAATCATTAGGGATAAGTATATTTGAAATTTTTATTATTAAGATCAAATTGAGAAAGTAATACACATAATCTTTCATAACAGCAGACGAAAATCATTTACAGAACTCAATCATTTAAACTCTATTCAACCCAGTTCCAAATCAATTCATTCATTATTCTTGGGTTGTCTAATTGTTGGGCCTATTTGTAGTATCGTGACAGGCCCAACAGGTTGGCTATCTTCTAATACTTTGATAATGGTAACACTCAATATTTTGAAGTCTTGGACAAAACAGTCAAGTTAAAATATATTATTTTTTTTGTTTTTCATGAGTATATTATTTTTGTGGCATTTATAAATGTTAATTTTGTCAAACATCAGCACTATGCATTGTAACATTTTATAACACGGCAATCATCCTGAAATTAATGAAATGAAGAGGCTACGTTCTTCTATTGAATCCTTTGATAATGGTCTGCTTGGTGAAATTGTAGAAAGGGTTGCTTCCAACTCATTCAACGATTTATTAAATTTAAGATTGAGGTATGTAAATTTTTAATCGAAATCAGTTGTTTACATTCATGTTTGATAACCTATGTATTTTTTTCCAGTTGCAAGTAATTTAATCAAATAGGAAGTGAACGGTGGCTTTACAAGAAACTTTCTCTGCACGATGTTCGCCTTAAGATATTGATGCGCCGAACATCAAGAACATGCAAAACATACGATTCTTTCATGAACTTATGCATCAATTGTGGAAATACAGAAGCCATGTATAGAAAAGGTGTGGTAATAACAATACTTAAATTACTTTCTGATGCATCCTCCTCATTAAATTCGTTCTGAACTAACGGATATGTGTTTGTATATTAGAAGAAGTTTTTCAGCTATGAAGATTCATATGGTGCAATACCATTACTGGAGAAAGCATCAAAAGCTGGTCAACTCGCTGCATCATACGTTTTTGCATTATTCTCAATATACTTGGACAGTGAAGCTAGACGAAATGGGATAAATACTATTGGGAAGACGAAACTAACGCAACACCAAACAAGATCAACAATATATTGTCGAGATCGTCTTCATCAAATCTTAAGTGTATCGTGGGTTTTGAATCGTTTATTTATGGAAAAACCATGTCCTTGTTGCACGTATAAGCATCCATTAACTTATCACAAAGTGGTCTTAGATAATGATCAAGGTGAGCTTGGTGGCCACCGTTACGGTTGTAGTGTTGATGAAAAAATTACATGGTTTTATGGTGGCTAACAATGCTTATGATTTAATTATGTCTTTTTTATCCGTTTTGTAGCTAAATTTTTTAATGGTATTTTGGTTTGTCATTGTTTACTTTCACATGGATCTATGTTAAATTTTATTAGTAAATTTAGCAAACATACCTAACACTAGACATAGGTAATGGTTATTTTCATAATCATAGATAGAAAACAAAAAAATTTATATACTAACCCAATGCATTATGCAATGGGAGTAAATATAACAACAACAAAAAAAACCAAAATAAAAAACAGCAAAAAGTACCTCATCCAGCGTCCTTATGTTGTGCCAAGAAACCTACCACTCCAGGT